ATTGCATAGATGTTTTCAGACTTGCTTGGGAATATGGTAGCAAAGAATATTGAGACTAGAATGTTGTAAACAATGAAAAATTATGATTAAGTAACGTTAGATTGGCAATAGTGATTGTAATTTAAATTATTATTCCCATCGCTTTAATATTTTTCGGTGCTCGGTGCAGTTGATCCTATAAAAAATAATTCGCCTATCAGTATCTTCTAGGAGAGGGGAAAAATGACACCTGAAATTGTCTATAAATCGGACTGTGTGCGCTTCCAATGCAGCCGTAGTTCCGCCTGAAGTTATTAACACAATACGGCCAGCCCCAGGGCGGTTTGGCTCTAGTTGCCTGGCGGTCGGACTGACCAGTGCTCGAGCAAGAAAGGCAACCACTTTGTCGACAAGTGGCTGCTCTATGTGACGCCTCTTCTTATCGCTATTCTCAAGATCGGCCAACCATTCATCCATTTTGAAATCAGCCTCATTTGTTCGCCCTCCAGTCATCGCGTTGTCTGTACTGGTCGGAGATATATGCAGAGGCCGAGGTTCAGGGGTAATACGGGACGTGGCCAAGATGAAGACAAAAAATAGGGCCCAAATTTAGATTGTGCCATATTCTGGTGATTCAATGATAGAGTTCGATTAAATTTTCAATGAAAATTAAAAAAAAAGTTAATAGATGAAGAATATCACATCCTAGGAGAAAATTGAGGATAAATAATGCAAGTAGCAAAACTATTATTTGGTAATGGCATATAATTAAGATAAAATAAAATTTCACGAAAATATAAGGTTACAAATTAACTAAAAAGAGTGATTAGTCGGAAAAGAAATATCACAAGACAAAATACCACTTATATGAGATAAATTCACACTATTTTGTTCAAGGGAATGAAGGAATGGTAGTAGAATTTTCCCACAATTATATGATTAAAGCTGACGTTCCCATCGAATTTCAAATAGCCTTGCTTTCCCAAAAGTCGTTCTCATCCAGGCACCAGTGGACTGCAGTTTCGACTTCGCATAGGTCTTCTCAATACCCCATACGGAAGTCGAACCGTGACAGTGCAGCATATGAGGTTGACACGTTAGCCACTTTGCCAGATTGCCACGAGTGCCCTTGACTCACAGAGCAGATGTGAATTTCAGGGAAGGCCAGGCCTTTTACCATATAACATTCTTTGGTGGGATTTTCGATAAAGCAAACGTATTTTCGATATAAAAATCGACTATCTTGAAATTCACATCTGCCCTCTGACCCTAAAGAGTACTCGTGGCAATATGGCTAAGGGGTTAACCTGTCAAGTTCACATGCTGCATTGTCACGGTTAGATTCCCACTTGGGGTGTTGATAAGACCTATGCGAGGTCGAAACTGCAGTCCATCCTGGAAGAAAACAACTTTGGGGAAAGCAAGGCTATGTGAAATTCAATGGAAATGTCAGCTCTACTCATATCATTGTCGGGAAATTCTTCTACCAGTCCTTCATCACCTTAAACGAAATAGAGTGAATACAAATCACATAACTGATTCACTGATAGTCTCGAAGATG